ACCTGTACCTCTGAAATAAATAATACATTATATCTTCAAAATATAAAAAAGAATATAGTAGGAAGGTTAAAATGAAGGGGGGAAATCAGAGGGGGAGATGAACCATGAGAGACTATGGACTCTGAGAAACAAGCTGAGGGTTCTGGGGGGTGGTATGGGTTAGCCTGGTGATGGGTATTAAAGAGGGCACGCTCTGCATAGAGCACTGGGTGTTATACGCAAACAATGAATCATGGAACACTAAGTCAAAAGCTAATGATGTAATGTATGGTGATTAACATAACAAAATGAAAAAAAAAAAGTCACCCTGGGATCTGAAAGGAATCCAAGGATTGGAACCTCAGTGGCCAGATCTAAAAGGAGTATTGAATTGCTAACTGGAAAATTGTTAGACACTGGGCAGGTTTTATAGACTGAGTGGTCTGTGTGACTGTCTCCCTTTATGGCACCAAAAAAATCCAGTTATTATGTGTTCATAAAAGGTATTACACCAAAAATAATTATCCAGAGAGTTTAAAATGTTTTAAATGTTATGAGAGATAAACATCATTACTTAATGAAATATTCAGTTCACCAGGAACATGTAAAAATTCTAAGTTTGTATGTATGTATTTATTTATTTTTTTTAGTTTGTATGTATTTAAAAATGCTCTCAGCATATATAAGAACTGATTGCACTAGTGGGAGTAATTCTCAAATCCATTTTCATAGATCTCTAAATTTTTCAAATCCATTTTCATAGATCTTTTCTCAAATATTGGTTTACAAATCATAAAAAGATTCATAAAGACAATTTGAACAATAAAATATTTTATTTGATGGATTTATGTAGAAGTGAACCCGTCACAGTAAATATATTTTTTTTCCCTCTATGCTCTTCATTAGGACTCACTAGACTCTACAGGGTATCACCATGAGGCTTTTATGTAATGACAAAGCATATGATACAGCAAGAGAAATAGAATTCAGGCAAATATCAGAAATTCAAGAAACATCCCTATGAACCCAAACTCTGTGCTTCTGGAACATGCTGGTCTCTGGCTTGAAGTAACAAGACTTAGGGGGCTGGATTTTGGCTTTTGGAGAACTCCTTAAAAAGCTTTCAGTGACTCAGTAGCCAAGGTAGCCTGGTCAAACTAGGTAGGGAAACACTAAAGAAGTTAACCTTGGGTAAGAGAGTTTTTGAACCCTAGAAAGTACCTTACAAATCTCACTGCCTTTGGCTTAGCTGGGAGTCAGAAACATCAGACTTCTAGGCAACCCCAGACATAAAGATAGTGTTTTTCTAATCCAGCTATAATTCGGTTTTATCTCTATAGCAATAATGTATATTCTTCTCAGGAATATGCAGATTATTCAACAACACTGACAAAAGGAAAAAAACATTAAAAATCAAATATTGACAATACAGTATCTGGTAACAATTCAATTAAGTTAAATCTTAAAAAGTTTTAAAATGTATATGGAAATTTAAAAATACACTTCTACATTATTCATGGGTTGAAGAAGAAATCCTAAATCATAATGTATATTAAATGATAATGGATGAAATTGAAGAAATTACAACCCCAAATTCGAGTCATATTCTGAAGATGACATAGAGGCATACTTTATAATTGTTTGCAATTTTGTTAATTTTACTCCTGTTTGCACCCAACAACAAAGATTCAAAATATGTAATGAAGAAAACTACAGATTAAAAGGAGAAAGAAATAATATCACAATAATTTGGGGAAATGTTGACACATTTTTTTTTTTAAGTTTCATTTATTTATTTTAGAGAAGGTGGGGGGGGCAGAGGGATAGAGTGTCTTAAGCAGACTGCTCTGAGTGGGGAGCCGGACATGGGACTCCATTTCACAACTTTGAGATCATGACATGAGCCGACATCAATAGTCAGACGCTTAACTAACTGTGCCACCCATATACCCCAACACAATTTTTTCAATAGCTGTAGGCTTACAGAAGACTAAACATGAGAAGGTTTAAAATGACTTATGCAGAAAACTGTACCCAATGACAAAATTCACATTCTTTGCAAATGTGGAAAATTTACCTGCATTGCCCATGTGCTATGTGGTGAAGAATGTGTATATTTTATGATGATGTCACAGATTGGGTTCTTTGGGATGCAGTCTTTGAGAAGATTCCTGTGAAGGCAGTTTATTAGGGTATGCTCTTGTGATAAGCCCCTGTGGAAGGGCAGGGGAGGAAGTGGGAAAGGGGAGATGGAGACTCAACCGATTCTCAACAATGTGTGAAGCTAGCATGGCCCATCAATATCTGGAGTTGGGATGAGGGGGCTTCTCATTAAATGTCTCAGTGAAAGAGTAAATACATTTTAAGAAGCTATGGCTTTTGATTTTTAAGAATTCAGAATTTCTGATAATTAAGTTCTTCTTGAATACTTTGTTGTAGGTCACTTATGCCATCAAAATTGACGGGAAAATGTACACTCTCCATCTTGAAAAACAGTAAGTGGACATTCTTCTTTTTATACAGTTTTAGTTTCTGAAGTTTTTATAGTCACTACCCTTCTTTGAATCTAAACAAGAGCATGACTATTATATTTAATATGTTACATCTTTGTGATTCAAGTCAGACTAGAATTCCAAGTCTTCATCTTGAGATTTTAAATCCAATATTTGAGCCAAATTTTAATTTCATGATACAAAATGTATGCCAGAGAAATGAAAATTCGTCTATGTAACTCTTTAAAATATAGCCACAACTGTAACAATTAAGGCAATAATTTTATTTGTCTGTTTAATTTTGTTCGTCATATCATTTTATACATTTCTATGATTTTAAACATTTTACGTGATATTACACCAACATTTTTTTAATATCGTAAATTTTCAGTCTGTGAGGAAACCAATGTTAATAACCTTGTATCTCTCTATCCACCATTTTATATTCTAAATTTCACCTTTCCTTTAAATAAAATATGTAGAAACTTACCAAGAAGGTTTGTTTTTAGAGAAATGGAAATACTGTTTTGCAATTGGCAGGTTTTATTTAATAATGGTGTTCATTTTCTTCCTCTATGTATATATCTTAACTCATTCTTTAACAGGTAACAACAGTCTGTAGTATGGCATGTTGATAGGTAATGAGGTTATTTCCAAGGATTGTCACTATAGAGTCCTGCAATAAACATCCTTATATGTATATTCTTATGCAAGAGATATTTTGTTTTGTAGGCTTAATACCAAGAAATGGGTTTCTGGATCGAGAAGTATGAATAATAGTAATAATAGTGATAATAATAACAACAACAAAAACAACAAAAGTAACTGACATTCATGGAGCACATACCAATTGCCGGGCATATTTCTAAGCAATTTGCATGTAGTAACTGATTTAATTTTCACAACAACCTTCCTTATTACTCATATTTTGTATTAGGATTTTGAGAGATACTGCCAGTTTCTGAAAAGACAGTAGCAGTTTAGATTTTCAAAAGCATGCAAGATGTGCTAAAATAATATATCGCATCTTTGTGTCAATTTATATTTCCCTAAAAAACTTCTCTAAACAATTATTGGCTATGTGCCTTTTCCTTTTTCCTGTTTCCAATTTAATATTTATTTTTTAGACCAGTTTTAGGTTCATGGCAAAATTGAGTGGAAGGTACAGGCAGTTTCTATATGCCCCCTGCCTTTGCACATGTGTAGTCTCTCCCATTATCAATATGCCCCACCAGAATGATATATTTGTTATAATTGATGATCCTACACATAATTATTACACAAAGGCCATATTTTATATTAATCTAATATTTTTTATATTGGCCTAATCATTCCCTAAATCAGCCAACATTCAGCTGAATTCCAGACCATTGAGCAAGCCTGGCCACCATTAGCAGAATTATTATGGCTACTCATTCATGACCCAGAAGTGTGAATAGTAGATACTTATTATGTGGTTCTGGTTTTGTGGTTGTACTTTTTGTGCAACATTTTGTATAACATTTTTTTTTTTTTTGAGAGAGAGAGAGAGAGAACCTGTGAGGTGGTAGTGAGGGTGAGGGTGAGAGGAAAAGGGAGAAAGAGAATCTTAAGCAGTCTCCATGCCCAGTGCTGAGCCTTAGTGGGGCTTGATCTCACGACCCTGAGGTCATGACCAGAGGCAAAACCAAGAGTTGGACGCTTAATTGACTGAGCCACCCAGGTGCCCACATAACATTTTTATCTGAGAGTCATTTATACCGATTTGTGCAGAATGAGTTCATTGATTGTGGCCATCCAATAAATATATCTCGTTTATTATTTATCCACTTACGTATTTATAGTAAGAAAAGCCATATTGTGGATATCTTTTGCCATGATGTTCTGGGCACCAGTGAAATTGATGGATTATAAATGATACAATTCTCAAGAGTGCTATATGCTACTAATTTTTTTCAGAGGGTTTATCCCAGTTTTCACTCAGATAAATAATTCAAAAACATTTCTGTTCTCTACATTCTCAATAAAATGAGTATCTTCGCTCACTTATTTTTGTTAATGGGTAAGAAATGCTATTTTATTGTTATTTTAATATGTACTTCCCTGATTATTAATAATATGTAGTATCTTTTCAAATGTTTACTGACTATTCTATTGAATTGCTTTCCTAAGCTTTTTGTTTTCCTTTTTGGTTTTCATTTTTATTCATTTGTTTTGGGTTATTTATTTTCAATCTATGGCTTACCTTTCTGCTTTTCTCTCTTTTTTTTCCCATGATCAATTTGTGGGAATATTTTTTTATTGTAGATATTAACTCTTTCTCTTCTATATGTTGCAAATATGCTATCCAGCCTATTGACTGTCTTCTTCCTTTGTTTGTGGGATTTATTGTTATAAAAATGAAATATTCATATAATCATTATACTAATATTTTCTTTTATAGGTTTCCAGATGCCTCACTTGTGTCTATCACATCCTGAATTTGTATTATAATATTCCTATAGTATTTTTAAAAATCTTTTTACATTTAAGATGTAAATCCAATGCTTTCAGTTTACTTACTTAACAACTATATTGCATTTTCCAAGTTTTATTACTGCTTCCTTTTTATTTTTTCCTTTTATTGCAATTTTATGCTGACCTAGGTATTGTTTATTTTCAGATTATTTTCTTCAGATGGCATGCTTTCTGAATCTGTGCATATCTGCAAATGTCCCTTTTGTTCTCACAATTGAATAAATCCCTTAATTTTTCATTTTGGTTTTAAATCACCACACATTTTTAAAAATTTTATGGAAATCTATGGTTTCATCCTGGGTCTTATGGATCTGCCCTCTGTAGAATAGATTTTCCTCCAACTATTTTCAGATCTTTATTTTGGCTGGGTTTTTTACTAGCAAAATATGTTCTTTTTATTGGCTAGGACTCCAATTCTGTTCTCAGCAAACAAATTCTCTTTGACACATTTATTGAATTATTTATTTTAGTTTCAGAGTCATCATTTTAGTTTCAGTGTCTTTTTTTTTCTTGAAAAGATCTGCTCTGAAAGCTTATTAGCTTTTTTTAACTTTTCTTGAAATAATGATTATTTTCTTTAACCAATTTCTTCATTCAACTTCATTAGGAACTTTTTTTAAGTTTGCCTTCCACCCTTTTGTTGTTCATTTTCCTTATATTGGATATTGTTTTTTCCATTGAGTGGTCATGTGTATTTCTATTAATTCATTGATTAAGGCAGACTTTTTTGTTATTTTGTGTAGAAGCAAAAGTATACTTTTGAAGACCCAGGATGAGTGAACTTGCAAACTAGATTTTATCCTTTTAATCATGCTTGTCAGCAATCTGTTGAATTTCCTTCTCCTGGCAGATGCTTCTGGATTCCCATTTCCACCACCTCCACTGACATGCTTAGTTACTAAAATGTGGCTCTGCCCTTGGGCCAGAATTCATGTTCCAGGTACTTGCTCCTAAAGCAACCCGTGTCATTTGGCATTGCCCTTGAATATATGTGGACTATGAGCTGATAAAGATCAGTGTTTTGTTTTGTTTTGTGTTTTTTTCTGGGAAGCTCTTTAGTTTTGTTATTTGAACGGAGGAAAAGGAAGAGCTGTCTGGAATGAGAGAAGAAGCAGGTCTGGAAAGAGAAGTAATGGTGAATGTGCATACTCTGTGAGCACTCTGGTCCCTCTTTGATTCTGGCCTTGAACTGCCCCTTGGTGTTTGGAATCCTTGAGAAACCCCGGTCTCCCAGCAATAAATCCTGGGGTCGGATTGTTCCATAACAATCACTATCTTCTCTGTAAGACGATACGCTTTGGTACCATTTATATGAGGCTTGTCTGTAGGATTCATGTAGCTTATGAAATGTGAGCAAAGCACTAGTCTTCTGCTTCTAAACAAAGGCTTTAAAAACTATCGTATGCTTCTACAATTTTTCTCCTTCTGCTACAAGAAAGGCATGTTCCATGGGGTAGGAGGTATGTCTTTTCCCAGGTTCCAGAATGAAGGCTGTGTGGAGCTGAACCTGCAATAAACTTGTGAAGAAACATTCATTGTTGTTTTGAAGCATTAAGAATTTGTAGGGTTGTTCTCACCACAATATAATTTCATGAAAACTAATGGAAAAAGCATATATTTTTTGTTTCTTATCAATCTATGGCTACTTGTTAGCAAATATTAACAAATTAGCAAATATTTATGCCATGAGATTTACTGATTGTTGAATCTAAAAGAAAATTTTGCCATGGGAATCTGGAAGTCCTGGTTTCTAGTGTACAAAAATCTATGTCATTATGGTGTCCCTACTGCTATAGATTATACTGCTTAGTATTTTTTCTTATACAAAATATGCTATCAGAAGGCAAATGAGATAATGAAGAGATGAGTCCATTTAAGTTTTGGATATTTGAGCTTGTAAAATTGAAAGTGAATTTTAATTTCATGATTCTGCTTTTGTTAATGTTACAATGAAGTGTCATTACTTTGGTTGAATTAGGTCATTTTTAGACCCTCATTTCCTGGTGTATGCATACAACAAATCAGGAACATTGTATCCAGATTCTTCATTTATAAAGGTAAGCTTTCCTTTATGCTCTGTAGATTTATGTTTTTTTATATCATTAAGGTGCCATTGGCAGGAAGAAAAAGAACGCCTTCTGCCCCACAGAATTATTGGGCAAACATTAGAAGCCCAAATATCAATTACTATGAAGGCAGATTGACCAGAACAATTACTTTTCAAATTTGGAACTCCAGAATCTCTTATCAAAAAAGGTTGTTTAAGCCATCAGAAGTATTAGTAGGGTTCTGAGAGAGAAAGAAAGTGGGTTAAGGAGCTAAGAATAAGAAGCCCCTAAATACAGAGTCATTTCAGTTGAGATGTCATAGGACCTGAGCAGTGCAGGAAGTGGTGGAAATTACAATTATCATGTGGTTTCACTCATAAGTAGAACATAAGGAATAGTGCGGAGGAACATAGGGGAAGGGAGGGAAAACTGGGAAGAAATCAGAGAGGGAGACAAACCATATGAGACTCTGGACTCCAGGAAACAGAGGGTTGGGGAAAGGGAAGGGGATGGGGGATAGGGTAACTGGGTGATGGGGCATTACGGAGGGCATGTGATATGGTGAGCACTGGGTGTTATATGCAACTGATCAATCATTGAACATTATATCAAAAACTAATGATGTACTATACGTTGGTTAATTGAATTTAAATAAAACATATATGCATAAAAAAAGAAATTACATTTCTGAACAATCACATTCCCACAAAGAAACATCAGGTCTACATGTTCTTTCACTTTATCTTCTCCAATCTTTAACTATTTATGGTAATGCTTCTATGCACATGCATGTGCAATTTGTTGTGTGGACATAATTTTTTTATTTTTCTGGGATACATGCCCAGGAATATGATTGCCAGATCATATGGTAAGTATATGTTTATTTTTTAAAAGAAATTATTAACTATTTTCCAGAGTGTCTGTACCATTTTACATTTCCACTGGAAATGTAGGAAAGATAAAGGGTCTGCATGTTTGTCACCATTTGATCAGCATTTAAAATCTTTTTAAATTTTAGTCATTTTGATAGATGTATAGTGATAGCTCATGTAATTTTTAATTTGCATTTCCCTAATGTCCAGTGATGTTGAATATATTTTCATGAAATGAAATGTCTATTGATGTCCTTGACCCATTTTCTAATTGGGTTCGTTTGTTTTTTAGTGTTGATTTTTAAGCAGTTTATATATTCTAAATACAAATCCTTTGCCAGATAGGTGGTTTGTCAATATTTATTGCCAGTCTGCAATTTGTCTTTTCATCTTGTTCATAAGGTCTCCCATTGATTAGAAATTTTTAATTTTGATAAGAGTTAATTTATCAACTTTTCCTTTTATGAATGGAAGTTTGGGTATCAAACTTAAGAACTCCATTTATCCCTAGTTCCTGAAGATTCTATGTTTCTCCCCCCTAAAAGTTTTACAGCTTTTTTACCTTTAATTGTATGTCCACTGTGGGATAATTTTATGTAAGGTGTGAGATTTGGATCAAGGTTAATTCTTTTGACTGAGGATGTGCATTTATTTGTTTCAACATCATTGATACAAAAGGCTATTCTGTATTGAATTGCTCTTGCATCTTTGTCAAAAAGTCAGTAGGCCATATTTTTGTGGATATATTTTTGGGTTCTTTATTCTGTTCAGTTCTTCTATGTGTCTATACTTCTGCCACTACCATGCTGTCTTCTTTAGTTTACTTGTAAATTAAGCATTTATATAGACCACAGTGATTCCTCCTACTTTATTCTTTCTCAAGAATTTTAGACTATCATAGGTATTTTGCTTGTTCATATAAATTTCAGGCTAAATTACTTCATGGATACAAACAAACTTGCTAGGATTTTGATAGACATTGTGTTAACCCTGTAGATCAATTTGGGGAAAACTGACATTTTTGCTATGTTGAGTCTTCTAACCTGTGAATGCAGTGAGACTCTCCATTTATTTGATCTTTTTTCCTCATGTCTTTCAATAACATTTTGTAATTTTAGCATGCATATCCTGTACATAGTTTTTTTCAGGTTTTTACTGAAGCATTTCATTTTCTTTGGATCAAATGTAAATGGTATTGTATTTTAATTTCAGTTTCCACATATTGTTAACTAGAAATGCAATGTATTTGTGTTGATCTGGTATCCTACAACCTTGCTGAAGTCACATACTTTTTTTTTTTTTTTAAGATTACTTGGGAGTTTTTACTTAGATGTGCCTTTATAAATCCAGACATTTTTCTTTTGTCCTTTTCAATCTGTATGCTTTTTATCTCTCTGCTTTGCCTTACTATGTTTGCTACAACTTCCAATACTGTGCTGAATCACAGTAGTGATTTACCTCGTTCCCCATCTTAGGGATAAAATAGTCATTCTTTCCACATTGAGGATAATGTTAGCTGTAGGTTTTTTTTTTTTAAATATATTCCTTACAAATTTGAGGAAATTCTCTATTTCTAGGTTGCTAAGAGTTTCCCACGCCCTGTCAAGTGGTATGTGTTTAATTGTATCAGATGGCTTTTCTGTATCAGTTGATATGATCATATGACTTTTTTAGCCTCTTGATATGATGGATTGCTCTGATTGATTTTCAGATATTAAAACAATAGCGCATATCTAGAAAAGTTACAACTTGGTCCTGGTGGATAATTCTTTTTATCTATGACTGGGTTTGATTTGCTAATAATTGCTTGAGGATTTTTTTTTTTTGTCAAAGTTCATGAGAAATATTGGTCTGTGGTTTTCTTTTTTTGTACTGACTCTGTCTAATTTTTGTAGTAGAGTAATACTGGCCCTATAAAACAAATTTGTTTTATTTTCTGGAAGATGTTGTATAAAGAACATGCTAATTTTTAAGTTGTTTGGTAAAATTCTTTAGTGTCCTCACAAGGCCTGGGGACTTGTGTGTGTGTGTGGGAGGGCAGAGTTTTTAATTACCGACTCAGTTTATTTAATAGTTACAGGAATACCTTGTTTATCTGTTTCATATGTATTGTTTGGGTTGTTTGTGTTTTTTTAAGGAATTGGTCCATTCCATCTCAGGGGTGGAATTTAGGGGTATAATTTTGTTATAGCCCTTATTATCTTTTTAATGATTATAGGAGTGTTTTGTTTCTGACATCAATGATGGCTGTCTTCTCTCTTCTTTGTCAGTCCTGCTGGAGATTTTCCAGTTTACTGAATTTATCAAAGAACCAGCTTTTTCTTGCCTTTTCCATATTTTTGTCTTATTTTCAATTTCATAGCATTTAGCTCTTATGTTTATTGTTGTCTCCCTTATACTTTTCTTTGAGTTTCTTTTTTCTAGTTTGTTGAGGGGAAAACATATTACCAATTTGTGACCTTTCCTCTTTTCTGTTGTAAGCATTTTGGTACTAAATTTGCCTACTCAGCACTGCTCAAGCTGCAGCCTACAACAATATGTTTTATTTTCAGTTTGATACAGTTATATGTATTTTTAAAATTTCCTTTGAGGCTTCTTGTTTGACCCATGGAGTTTTAAAAAGTGTGTTGTTCAATTTCCAAAGTTTGGAGATTTTTCCTGTTGTCCTTGTCTGCTGATTTCTAGTTTGATTTCATTATGGTTAGAAAATATATCCTGTATGATTTCAATTCTTTTAAATTTGTGAAGGTTTGCTTTATGATCCAGTATATTATGTGTCGATGAATGCTCTTGGAAAATTGAAAAATATGTGTATTCTGCTCTTGGGTTAGAATCTTCCATAAATGTCAGGTAGATCATATTGATTGATGTTGTTCAGTTCTGTATTTTTACTGATTTTCTGTCTAATACTATCAATAACTGTATGATACATATTGAATTCATCATTATTGCGGGTTTTTTTTTTTTTTTGTCTTTCTCTTTCAGTTGTATCAGTGTTTGCTTCACGTATTTTGAAGTTCTGTTGTTTGATGCCCAATACATTTAGGATTGCCATGTCTTCTGGATGGATTGATGCTTTTATGATTAGGTAATGATTCTCTTTGTCCCAAATAGATTTTTTTTACTAGTAAGTCCACTTTGTCTGATATTAATAAAGCCACTGTGCTTTATTTTTATGAATACTCACATGATACATATTTATCCATTCATTTCGGTCTATGTTGTTTGAAATGAGTTTCTTAAAAGAGTATTTAGTTGAGCCATAGTGTTTCTTTTTCTCCCATTTACCCTGGCACACAGTATTTTATTTGGTATTTTTAGACTATTTACATTTTAAATAATTATTGATATATTGGGGTTTATAACCCTAATGGCTTGTCCTTTGTTTGTGTCTTCTTGCCTTCTTCTGGGTATTTGGATATTTTTTAGGATTGCATCATGAATTATTAATATCTTTTAAAGTATTTTCCTTATAGTTTTCTTAGTGCTTGCTGTAGGTATTACAATATACATATATAACTTACAATATAGCTTACTATTATGTAGACTTTTTACTATTTCAGTAAAATGTTGAAACCATACTTCTGTTTGAGTTCCTTTATCCTCTGCACTTTTAAAATACAACTGGTAAAAATTCCTTTACATATATTAAGCATCAGATGATATTGTATGATTTTTGTTTCAACCACAAAATGTGATTTAAGAAACTCATGAGGGAAAAGATTGCCCATTATATTTACCATGATTTTAATCCATTCTGTTTCTCCCCATTCCTTATGATGCTCCAAGCCTTCATGTGATAATACTACCTTTGTTTTTTGGAGTTTCTTTTTGACATTCTTTAAGTATATGCGCTAGTTATAAAATCTAGTTTTCCTTTTTTGACAAAGTCTCTTTTTTCCTCCACTCTTAAAGGGTGAATTTGCCAGATACAGACTTCATGTTTGACTGTACTTTTCTTTTAGCAGTTGAAAATTGATATGGTGTTTCTTCTTAGCCTTCATTCTTTCAGATGTGAGCTCTGCTGTCATTCAAGTTGGTGTTTCCGTATAGGTTATGTGACATTGCTTTTTGGTCACTTTGAAGATATTTTTATTTCTTTTATTTTAAGTATGATAACCTATTTATTGTGGGTTG